GGTAAAACAAGCTTTCCTCTAATGGCCAGTTGCCTCTATAGTTACTTTTTTTTATTTTTTTACTGGTTTCATAATCTTTAATCGGTTCATGATTCCATCTTGGACTGTTTTGTAAGTGTCTTATTGTATAATTCAACATATTTATTTTTGGCGCCCTCTTTATGGGAGCAATATTGTTGCAAAATTATTTGCAAATGTGTGTGGAGAGTTGTGTGTCTGTATCTAGATTTGTGTGTGTGTGCAGTGGGATTTGAAAATGTGTAAAAAATTCACAAATCTGTATTCAGATCTACAAATGAGTAAACCAGTCTGTAAACATTCAAGGTCACTTAAGTCTGATGCATTTTTGCTTCAAAACCAAGAAATACAGATAAATCATTGTTTACAAGTCCAGCAGTTTCTCGGTTTTATCTCTTTACATACTCGATTTTGGCAAAATTTTTTGTGAGATCTGCAAATGCGTAGAGAGGATTCGTATGTCTAATATCTTGATTTGCTGCCCTGAGCGCAGGCTTGCAGGCTTATGGCGGCTGTTTCTCATAAAATCAGCTTTTCTGACCCTCCAGAATTACTTCTAAGATATCGAAGAAAAAGTTTTGACTTGGAAAAAAATAAATTTTGACTATCCTGAATGATGCTTTGAGTTAACTGATTTATATTATGACTAGTGAAAATAACTGTTGGGATCTGGAGGTCTGTCCACCTTTCTCCAGCAGAGGGCGCCCTAGGTCTCCTGGAGCTGAAGCTGACTTCCAAACCTGCGGCTCGTTTGCTCATCAGGAGACCGGCATTTAAGCAGTGGCAGAGCAACACTCCAGTGCCAGAGTGTTAAGCCAGTTAAGGAAGAACCTGACTGAACTCTGGAAGAGTTTCTCAGCTGAGACCAGCTTGTCTGATCTCAGAAGAACCTTGGAAAGTCAAACTGTCTGAACCTGCCTGCCCGCTCTCAAGAAGAGAACTGGAAAGTAACTCTGATCTGAACACTGCAAAGTCTGAAGCCAAGCCCTGCCTCTGCCTAGCCCTCTGCCTACCTTCTGCCTCTGGACCCTCCTGGTTCCCTCCCTCTGCCGCTCAGCCTAAATCACTGAACAGGTACAGACCTGCATTACTCAACAAACAACAGTAGTTGGATCTCAGCTAACCGAACTGTCCCTCTCCGCAGAGAACCCAGTTGTGACCAGTCCTGGATCTGTTTCCCAAAACATCAGTTCTTTATTATCATTGTGTTTCAATAAACTGTTGAACTTTCCCCTCTGAGTCCGTGTGTTCTGAATGTGGGTAAGAAATCTTGATCCCAACATGACAATAACAATTCAAGATATCAATGAATGACATTTTGGAGAGTCAAAATGCCTTTTGAGATATATCAAATGGCATCGCCTGATTCATCATTTAAAGTTTCACACATCTGGAAATATAATCAAGATTTCTCAAAGTTAATTGCAGCAATACTGCTCTCATACCTCCTCTTCAAATCCCCGTAAACTCATTATCTTTGTTTCTCATTCCAGAGCATTTTTATGGTCCAGACCATAACAGCACAGAAGGGGATTAGTCATTCTCTATTTATATCTAACAAAATCATATTCAAACCTCAACAATGAACTTAACTAATAAACAATAAATCCCGACACGTATCCTACCAGCAATTCCTAGAGTTGGCTCCTCTGCTCTGTCTCCAGCTTTTCCTTTTCTTCGCTGGAACTTCCTGTACCTGTACTTCCGGAGACACGCCACCAGACAGGCTACCAGAAAACTCACTGTGAAGGAAAAAAACTTGGTTTCCCACTCAAGAAAAAAAGAACAAATTTCACATCAAATATGACTGATCTTTAAAAGGTTTAGGCGTATTGAAACATGAAAACTTTTTAGCCTTCCCAAAGCTGATCTTCATGCAGGCTGCAAAAGGATTTGCTTCTGCAAAAATCATTAAAGACCCTGTTACAC